GGAGAAACACGGTAGCTGATTTGCTTGAAAGGAATGCAAAATGCACTCCGCACTCACATTTTTTTCCTCCTGTCTTTCTTGACATCGATACTACCTTCCATATCACTTTTGCAACCCTTAAAGAAAAAACAAACCTGTGATTTACTTTCTCCCATCCATTTAGCAAATAAGGGTCCAGATACACTTTGCAAAGGTTACCCCATCAATTTAACAAATAAGGGTCCCCGTAGACTTTGCAAAAGTTACCCCATCCATTTAGCAAATCAGGGTCTAGAGAGAATTTGCGAAAGTTACCCCATCCATTTAGCAAATCAGGGTCCAGAGAGACTTTGCGAAAATTACCCCATCCATTTACCAAATCAGGGTCCAGAGAGAATTTGCCAAGGTTACTCCATCCATTCAGCAAATCACGGTCCAGAGAGACTTTGCAAAGGTTACCCCATCCATTCAGCAAATCAGGGTCCAGGCAGACTTTGCAAAGGTTACCCCATCCATTCAGCAAATCAGGGTCCAGAGAGACTTTGCAAAGGTTACCCCATCCATTCAGCAAATCAGGGTCCAGATAGACTTTGCAAAGGTTACCCCATCCATTCAGCAAATCAGGATCCAGAGAGACTTTGCAAAGGTTACCCCATCCATTTAGCAAATCAGGGTCCAGGTAGACTTTGCAAAGGTTACCCCAACCATTTAGCAAATCAGGGTCCAGAAAGAATTTGCAAAGGTTACCCCAACCATTTAGCAAATCAGGGTCCAGGTAGACTCTGCAAAGGTTACCTCAATCATTTAGCAAATCAGGGTCCAGAGAGACTTTGCAAAGGTTACCCCAACCATTTAGCAAATCAGGGTCCAGGTAGACTTTGCAAAGGTTACCCCATCCATTCAGCAAACCAGGGTCCAGGTAGACCTTGCAAAGGTTACCCCAACCATTTAGCAAATCAGGGTCCAGAGAGACTTTGCAAAGGTTACCCCAACCACTTAGCAAATCACGGTCCCGCTAGACTTTGCAAAAGAAGATGCACACTTTTCACCAACTCATCTCGGTATGTCTTTCTACCCCACTACGGATGCAGGAAGCAAGCGGGGAGGGGTGGGAGGACAGAGGGCCGAGGCTACCTTGGGCATAGGGAACTGGCAGGCGCCGGAGCAGTAGTAGGCGTCGAAGGACTTGGGGGAGATGATCCACTCGCTCCAGCCGATGTCCGCAAAGTCCACTTTCAGGTACCTCCTGGCGCAATTTCGGGGTTCGGTCCACTGCTTTCTCCTGGCCTTCTTCAGGGTGTGCTCGTCGAACTGGAGCGTCTGGGAACTCTTTTGGGGGGAGCCCTTCCTCTGTTTCTTTCTGCTTCTGCCCTTCTCGGGGGGCTGGGTCTGCAGGGCCTTGTAAGGCTCCCTCTGGCCCCAGACCTGGTCCCTGGTGTACTGGTGATATTCCGCCCCGGGAAGCTCGTTGTTCTGCAGGGGCAGCAGGGCGGCCGCAGAGCGCTTCCTCCTCCTCCTCCTCCTCCTCTGTTCCAGGGACAGGGTGGCTCCGATGTGGCCGTCCAGCTGGGCCGAGGCCCCCGTGACAACATCCCGGCGTGCCCAAAAGCTAGACGCCACGCTGTCCGGCTCGGACATGGCAGCGTCGTTGGCATAGACCAGTATGTAAGGCTCCGGAGGAAGGGACGTCCTCTTCGGAGGTGGGTGGCCCTCGGCGGTCACGTTGAGCCCCAGGAGGAGCTGGCCGTTGTCCCTGGCCTTCCTTAAGAGCTGCGTGACGTCTTTAGACAGCCAGGCTGCGGCGTCTCCAGGGGGCCTGGCCGGGTCGATGGACAGGTGGCCCAGGAGCCGGCTTTGGTTTCTGCCGGGCGTGAGGGTCCACGCGGAGATGCCTATCTGATGGGGGCACCCTGGGGACGCCGGGCAGCTCGGGCCGGCGGTGGCCAGCTCCACGAAGGGCAGGTGCAGCGTGGCGGACAGAATGCTTTCCGACTTGCTCAGGGAAGTCAGATTGAAAACGAGCAGCCCCTGGCTCTCAGGGGTTCCTAGGAAGGAAACAAGGTAAACGGGAGTCAAAACAGGATGCCACCATGAACCGAAAACGAAATCAGGGACCCTACCTGTAAGAGAGCTAAAACCGAGAAATTCTTGGAAGGAAACATGGGGGTGAATCGTCACCGCCAGGAATCTGGCACTGGTCTCTTAAGGACCGTGTTTCCCCGAAAATAAGCCCTACCCGTGAAACAAGCCCCAGCAGGGTGTCTGAGCAGGTGCGCAATAGAAGCCCTACCCCGAAAATCAGCCCTAGTGACGGGAGTGGCCATGAAAATCAGCCCTAGTGGTGGGCGTGGCTATGAAAATCAGCCCAGGTGGTGGGCGTGGCTATGAAAATCAGCCCTAGTGGTGGGCGTGGCTATAAAAGTCAGCACCGGTGATGGGCGTGGCTATGAAAATAAGTCCTAGTGATGGGCGTGGCTATGAAAATCAGCCCTAGTGATGGGTGTGGCTATGAAAATCAGCCCTAGTGGTGGGCGTGGCTATGAAAATCAGCCCTAGTGATGGGCATGGCTATGAAAATCAGCCCTAGTGACGGGCGTGGCTATGAAAATCAGCCCTAGTGACGGGCGTGGCTGCGCAGCACGTCTGCACAACCCATGCGTGTTGTCGCGGAGCGGGAAAGAACACGAGCAGCCCTTCTCATCTGCCCCGTGAGAGCTCTAGTGCTCGACAGGAGAGATTGGGGCCGGTGGCTCTAAGGGAAACAGAGTCGCAAGACATTCAGGATGGGATTCGGGGTCTGGAGAGTGAGGATGATGTTCCAGAAGAAGACGACTTCACTGTGTTTGAATCGATGGAGATGGTTGCACCGCACTTAAAAAAAAAATAACACATGCCCTGAAAATAAGCCCTAGGGTGTCTTCTTGAGGAAAGATAGATAGAAGACCCTGTCTTATTTTCGGGGAAACACGGTACCACCGGCTGCTCCCAGCTCTTCCCAAAGAAATAGTTTGGATGCTGAAATATAACTACCCATAGGTGGCGCTATCTTCTCACTCTTGGCTGGTATTGGCACCAGCCTGGATTTTTCTTGCTGGTAATAAATTTATCTCCTGCAGCCCGGTTAGGCTTTGCCATTGGCAGGATAACCTTGCCAATTTTGAACTCCCTGGAGTTATAACACCCGAAGCATGGAAAAATGGGTTTATAGGGTTATAGGAGTCAGGTGAGTGGCTGGCCGAGCAAGCCACACTTTCTTTTACACACCTGGGACTTTGCACCCACCTGTTGTTGCTTCTGTCGAGCATAGCTGTACCACCCTTGTTTATCCTGGATATTCAGATTTTTTTTTTTTTTTAGCAAGGAGGCAAGCTTGTCATGATGGCCGATTCCTTGTCAGGACCCTGCCTCTGTTACACGTTCATCTACTCTGCTACAGACTCCTTCCGCAAGACCATACACTCCTCAAAGACAAGGCTCTATATTAAGTCAGCTGTTGTTTCAGCCCATGAGTGGCCACAGGGCTGGACCTCTTTTTTTTTTTTTTTTTTTGGAGACAGACGTCTCACTCTGTTTCCCCAGGCTAGAGTGAGGGCCGTGGTGTCAGCCTCATTCACAGAGCAACCTCGCCGACTCCAGAGTGGCTAGGATTACCAGGCGTCCCCTGGGCCTCGAGCGAGAGCCATCCTCCCTGCCTCAAGCCCCCCAGTCGCAGCCGAGTAGCTGGAGCTACAGGCATGGCCCACCCTCATTGACCGCCCCGCCGGTGGCGATTTTTCTACCTAATACCTTAGCCTTTATAGGTGACGATTTAATTTCTTTCTAGTTTGTTTAGTAGAAGGAACGGGTCCATCGGCTCTTGGCGTCAGGCCCCGGCTGGTTCGTTCCGAGGAACGTCCCTGACACCCCCCACAAATCTTTCGTGTGATGTCGATTATCCATCAAGCCCCCGATCATCATACCGAGCACGCGCCGTCCGCCGGACGCGGCCTTCTCCTCACCCGACAGAGTTGCCAGGATTGAAGGCGTCTAACGCAGACGCCCACCCCCGGTGGTTCTTGGATCCATC